TATATATATATATATAAAGAGAGAGAATACATACCACTGATTTTAAATATACACACATTTAATATCTATATTATCACAATAATTTTCTATTGAACCTATTTTTCTTTTTTATGTGGGTATGTCTTCATAAATTTCTTTGATGGATAATTCATCATTAGGAGATGCTGATGAAAATTGTGAAGCATTGTAAATTTGAATGATGAAAATAATTTTATGAATTTTTTTATCAATATCAAGTTGAGTTCACTATTTAAGGGAACGTGTATCTTTTTCTAAGCTTATAGTACAAGCTCAATCTCAAGGAATTTAATAATATTTAAATAAAAAAATTGCTTTTATGATAATTTTCTCGGATTAATGTTTCTCATTTTTGGAGAAACCTCAACCCATTCAATATAGTAATTTTTTAATGACTTGAGTAGAATCTCAATATTAGTTCCTAAATATCATAACCAACGGTAGAACTAAACTAGTTGTTCCCCACTAACAGTATTCTTAATGACAGTGATGAAGCTTGAATGTTTTGATACATGGTTTACCAAAAACAAAACTTTCGTCATTGCCTGAATAAAATCCTGCAGTTAACTGCAATTATATGTTGTAAATTTGCAGTTAAGTAAATGACTTTTTCTGGGAATGAAGTTAAATATCAATTTTTATGATGAATAATCTTTTATATTATTCATTTACTGTATAAAACAAATTGTGTTATGTTGTCTTTGGTATACTCAAAGGTTATGCATTTTATCTAAATCAAAATATTATCATAGGTCTCTCTGGTAAAGACTCTCAAGGAAATCAGTTATTTCCCAAATATCTTTCAAATAAGGCATTTGGATTATTTATATGATAATCCTCGAGATTTATATCACTAATATTTTGTTTAATTGGTTTAGTGAAAAATCGGTTCAGATGCTACGACTTCTTTCAGGGAAGGAATAGCTTTAGTAAATGATGATTCTCCTTTTTCTGTATTAGAAGCAAAAGTTTTTTCCATAAAGATAATAATGTAGGTTAATTCGAGCATTAGTAGAATTTGTAACATGACTTCTTCTCCCCCCGCGAGAGGAAGCACCACCTCTTAGATTATAAGGAGGCATTCAATGTCGATGGGGGTTTTAAAATCCACTTTGGGTGACACTCTTTAGATCCCTTGGATCTTAAGAGCAGGGCCGACAAGGCGACACTGGCAAAGTCATACTTTACCCAGAGATTGACCCTACACTTAGATGCTAGTTAGGACACTTTCTCATTAGATGATGTGTTGGACTAGCATTTAGGATACCAGGTAGTACTTTTCGACGCATCCAGTTATTGTTCTGTGTTGTGTTGATTGTGTTAGCCACGCATCACCTTTATTGCCTTTTTGGTGTGCTTGTGTGCTCGTTGTGCGTGATAATATAGTCAAGCGTTCTTCTGCAAGGTATTGTGCCTATATGTGCACACACAAGTACTAATAAAGGGGGAGTCTGTAATGATTTCTAACCCTTTGCTTGTAGGTGTCAGCTCCTCTAGTTATATGACACAACCTATTTCACGTTGCATGGCTTTCTCCGCTAACGTTTATTTTCCTGCAGGTAGAGCTTTTTTTTCTCTTCCATATGTATTTAATAGAGTCTTTAAGCTGAGTCTGTATCAGAAATAAGGTACGAGCATGAATTTTGAAGTGGATAAAGCAGCGAACCACGTGACAGGAACAAGGAGCAGTAGCTCGTGTCCCATATCTTAAGTCCAATGTTTCCTTATTCTTGTATAGATCTAGGACCAGACATATATATGCAAAGTCCAGTCCCTTTTTCTACTTTTCTGGGATATGTTGTTGATCTAGCAACATTTTGGACCTCTTTTATATATTTTGGAGTGCTTTCTTTTCTGTGTTTTACATGCCTTTATTTTCTTACTATTTATTTTACTATTTTTTTTTGTGCATTTGGGATTTCACGAAAATTATAACATAAATTCATTAAGAACCCTAAAATTATAAATTTTCTACTTACTTACTATTTATTTTTGTGCATTTGGGATTTTACGAAAATTATAACATAAGTTCATTAAGAACCCTAAAATTATAAATTTTCTCCTTAAAAATCCTAAATAAAACATTCAAGATAATTAAAATTTAGGATTAAAATATTCAGAATTTTCAAAATATGTTTTTTACTTTCCTGCATGTCCTTCAAGCGAGTTTTAAAATGGGTAGCATAGCTGACATGCCTAAAGATTGCCTAGTTTTTTATATATTTTTATGCTCATTTTTAATGATATTGCACTTTAAAGGAAGATACTTTGCATGTTTTTAGTTTCAGGTACAAGAAATGGAGCTTTGGAAAAAATTGAGAAAAAATGATGCAATTTAGAGTCAAATCGAGCAATAAAGAAATTTCTGACCTGATGCATTTTGATGTGTCTTTCTATGCTTAATTTCCTTTACATTTATCACATATTTTTGAATTAAATTACACTTTAAAGAAATGTTATTTTTTATGTTTATCTTGTAAGTATAGCACTTGGAGCGGATTGGAGTTGAAACGGAGTGAAACATAGTAAGGTGGCGCATAGGCTTCAGAAAGTGGCACCTAGGCATTAGTCTCGCCCAATTATGGCACTATGGAGCCACATTCTGGAGCCTAAGCGCCATAAATGGTTGTGGAAGATTCTAGATGCCCCAATGAGTTTATAAGGCACGTTTCGGGACTTGGAAAGACACCTTTTGGCATTTCAAACTCTTAAAAACTCCAAGAACATCCAGAGGTCGTAGATATGAGTAGGAGATGTAGATTTATACCTTTTCTGGAGAGATTGGTGAAGAATTTTGAGTGATATGTGTAAGGAATTGTATGAGCATTGCATAGATCGACAAGAGACTTTGTTGGAGGGATTTTCATCTTTATTTCAGAGGAAAAAACTAAGTATTAAGTTCTTCATTATCTTATAATTATTGTAAATACATTCAAGTAAATTTTCTTTGATTTAATGAAGTTTTCTATTATGTTTTATCCATGCTTCATGAGTATGTCTTCTTTACGCTTTTCTTTTGATATGAAATAGCGGCATGAATAGAAAACTTTGTTTTATGATATAATAATTTTTATTTTCATGTGATGAGTAATATATCATTTGCTTTATTTACACAACTCACTGGCAATAGATTATGTTAAAATATCTTGTAAGTGAAACTAAGACTCGGAAGAGAAGTGATCTCGCAACATGAGTGCACTCACATTAAGTTCGGTTGGCTATGCTGAACTAGTTTAGGCGGCAATGCAATTTTTAAAGAAATATAATTCATGATATGTTTTTATTAGAAGCTTCTAGGTGACAGCTAGTTGTGTAAAACTAACAAGAGTACTAAACGTATTTATACGCTCGGGAGATGGTAGGTAGACATATGTTCCTTGTTGGCACATAATTTATTATATAATTTTATCAATTCTTTTATTGAATATGTCATTATCTTCATTTTATTTCTTTTTTTTTTGCAATGAATTGGATGCTTTTTTAGGAATTTAGATTTACTTAGAAATTCTCTTATTTTATAATTGTGATTGTATTTTCATCGGTTCTTAAGTTACTTTGCAAACTGGTCATTTGTAATGTTAAAATTCGTTGTAAAATATAATGATACGGGAGAGTTATGATTTCATCAAACTAGTGAATACCACACAAACCTTAGGAAGGAGGGGAATCAAGTTCTAAGGTGAGTGCAAATAGAGAAATATAATGATACGGGAGAGTTATGATTTCACCAAACTAGTGAATACCACACAAACCTTAGGATGGAGGGGAATCAAGTTCTAAGGTGAGTGCAAATAGATAAGGAGATACGTTTTGATGGGCGTACAATTGGTGATTCTAAGGTGATAAACTAAAATCTTTACCAATTTGGTCTAGAGTTTCAATCTTAAGGCTAGATGTTAGTTCTATAGAGATGGCACAATGAGTAGTCTAGATATGAGAGACTAGAATCTATCCAACATAACAAAAAATTTAAGGAACAAACTTTAGATTAGCCAATGTTCTTTATGCACTTGGAAGAGGGTAAAGAATATGTATGCTCCTATTTGTCACATGCCACATTAAATTCTAAGCATTCTATTCCCACTGATTATCTAAGTTGTTACACATGAAAGGCAGTTTTTAACATCTCAAAATTCATCAAACCAATTTCTCTAGTTAGGTTTATCTTTAGATTTAGGTTTGTATTTAGGAGTCGCTATTAGAAAAACACTCTCAATCATCACTCCAAACTAATACCAGATAGTAGTAGACTAAAATTAGCCTAAGGGATATCTTAACTCACTTCTCTGTGGGATTGACACTCTGGTCTTAAATGAAAACCCTATACTACTTGAAACGATATGTGCACTGGTGTAGTAGCCCTAGTGTGTGAACTATAAATTAAATTCTAAACTCTACAACATATTTTTTTGCATACTAGCCGCCATAATTAAACTGGTTCAAGTTCTTAGCCATGAAATTAATCATTTGCGTAATTGCAGGGTCAGAACAAGTATTTGGTTTCGTCACCAGAAATTGAAATTGAAGTAATTACATATATATTCACTCGCACATTCTAGGGGGTGTTAAGTTTTTGGCGTTGTTGCCGGGGAAGCTACGGTAAGAACTTTAGGACAATTTTTAGTTGAATTTGGAACACTTAGATTTGGAAATTATAGTAGTATTATCTCATGTGTTTAGTTATTCTGAGTCTATTTAAAGAAAAATGCAAATTACCAAAAATATTTTTGATATCTGTCATATTAGTTAAGTCTTTAGATTTGCATGCGTAGTTCAGGAGTACCCGACCTTGAATCGTATGACTCGGATCTAGGGAGAAATTTTAGGAGG